CCAAAACCAGAGCTCCTGATTTGTAAAGAAAAGGTTACTCCCACTAGTTTGCCATTTCAAGTTTAGAAGAGTCGCTGGAGTCGGGCTAAAGCCACTGCATGCCTGTTCACTGAGGTCTCTTCGCACTCGTAAACTGATCCATATGTCCTAGCGTGGATAGAGGACTTTCTACATGACTGCAAGCAGTGTGTGGTGATTAATGGCATGAAATCGTCATCCGTACCTAACACAAGTGGGGTACCACAGGGCAGTGTATTGGGCCCGCTGTTGTTTGTTTGTTAAATAAATGAGATGCTTGACGTTGTACACTCCTCCATACAAATGTTTGCCGATGACGCCAAGTTATTTCGGGAAATTAAGAACCAAGCGGACTGTGAAGAGCTGCAGAAGGACCTCTGTGGGCTCCAGGAATGGTCGAAGAAATGGCTGCTGAGATTCAATGTCACGAAGTGTAAGAGGATGCACCTGGGCCGTACCAATGGTAAGGAGGTGTATCATATGTCCCAACGGGATGAAGAAACTGCACTAGTTGAGACTGTGTGTGAGAAGGACCTAGGTGTGTATGTTGACAATGAGCTGAAGTTCTCGGGCCATTGTGAGAAGAAGGTAAATCAGGCAAATAAATTATTGGGTCTTATAAGAAGGTCGCTCAGATATCTAGACGGTCAGTCCCTCAACGATCTTCAGGAGTGAAGTGCTTCCCCATCTGGAGTACTGTCACCCCATCTGGTCCCCGAGATATGCTAGGGACTGTCAGTTGGTTGAAAATGTTCAAAGGAGGGCCACCAGACTGGTGCCTGCACTTCGGCACCTCAGCTACCCTGAGAGATTGGAGCGCCTGAACTTGCCTAGCTTATACTACAGACGGGCAAGGGGGGGGACCTAGTTGAGGTGTATAAGCATCTCAGGGGCACTACTCAGTTGAGTGTCCTTACTTGGAGCTGGCGGACGCCGCCAAGGGGTCACAGCTCAAGATTGAAGAAGCCGCAAATCCAGAAAACTGTGAGGGCAAACTTTTTCGGAGTGAGGGTTGTAAACTCTTGGAACAATCTACCAGAGAGTGTTGTGACGGCACCGAGTGTGAGCTCTTTCAAGACAAGACTTGACCAACTTTTGGAGCGGGTTCAGGTACTTTCAGGAGCCGGTGCATGCCCAGTATTTCCCAACAGTGCGTGACAGAGACGTGACCGGGCGGCTAGCGAGCCAATCTTTTGGTGAAGAAGATAAATGAAAAGAGACGTGACCGATCGCCCAAGCGGCTAACAAGCCGATCAGTGGCGAAGAGGATAAAAGTAAAAAAAATAAAAGTGTGTAGGACTGCTTGTCTTGTACCTCCCAGCATCACCATTAATACCTCAGTAATGGCTTCTGAGCAAGTTAATATGACTTCTATTCCTACCTTTGGTAGGAGTTGTATTAGAACCCAGCACACACTGAATTTGATAGTGGCTCGCTGTATTATGTCAATGCATTGATGAAATTCCGAAGAGGTCTAGTAAATAGGAGAAACAATATTAAGAAAAGTTGAATTCATTCTCTCAGATACCCTTGAAATGCACCATAACAGACCTCAAATTTAAAACAAAAATATAGGTGAGGGGCTGTTGATCCCCCTAAATGTGAGGGGGAACACCCCTTCCTCTACTCTTACCCATTGAATGTACTGTACAGGTGTTACTATACTGTACTGTACTTGTAATCTGATTTCCTTGTGTATTTACAGTATTTGTAAAGAGTATTTAATGCTTACTAGATGGGTTTGTTAGGTTTTATTATTAAATTTTATAGCCTTAGTGCAATTGATTGCCTAGAAGCATCCAATTTTTTAACAAGTTATTCATTTTGATTTTTTATGAATTAAGTAAATAACACAGCATTCTTCAAGGGGCTGACTCCTGCATAAATATGGGGTTTACTGTATATTTCTAGAGGTGAGTTCAATAAAGCCTCGGTTTGCTATTGACACCAAATATCTGATAGAGGCTGAAGGGAAGTAATAAGTGTTGCTGGATAGACAACAATTTCTAAAGAGAATGAAGGGTTGCACTACTATGTCACTGGGCATAGAAAAATCAGCTGAAAGTTGCACAAAGAAAACAATAAGAAGACTGCTGCTCTGGGTTGTGGATAACCATAGAGTTTTGTGTGGATTTTGAATTTATATAGCAAAGTCATATATGAGTGTTAAAGGTCTTTATTTTTCTATTAAAATATATATATTGGGGACATTGGAATTTCTGTGCCCTGGAATGCATCCCTATACAGTATTATCCTTTTCCCATATTATACAGTGATATCCCTGTTAGCCAGAACAATTGATTCAGAGCACTTCCAGGAATGAGAGATTTCCAGGTAATGAGACGACTCTCAAAGCCGGAAAAAATCCCTTATACCCGGAATTTTCCTGGTAACGGAAAAATGTTCTTGGAAGTTCCAGAAATTGCCCATTACATCATCTCTCGAACCTGGTAAAATATCCCTCAACCCCCGAATAAATTCCGGGTAACAAATTTTTTCTCGGAATTTCCAGTAAAGAGCCTGATTTTCATCTCTCAAACCCTGAAAAAACAACCCCACGCCCATCCCCGGAATTTTCCGGGTATCGGAAAAATGTTATCGTAATTTTCCGGAAAATGTGCCCCTCGGAAATTCGTTCCCAAAGCAGGAATTTGCCAGAAAATTCCGGCTTTGGGAACGATTTTCCAAGAAAATTTCAATTCTGTATATCGGAGAGTTCCGGGTTTGAGGGATTCCGGCTAACGGAGATATTACTGTACAGTACATATTGGTAATACACATCATTTGATTCTCACAATTGTGTAATGTTCCCTTTTGTTTGCTGGTTTGCACAAAATGTTTTACTCGCTTAGGGGGAAATAAACCCTTTTAAGTGAACCATACAGTACAAGTTGAGTGTTTCAATGGGCATCTCTCTCTCTCTCTCTCTCTCTAAACATCCTTGAAGGCTTACCCACATTCAAATTACCCATAGAATAAAAATTAACTGGATGCTTAGGTAAGATTTGTTGCAACTGCAGGAGGATTAAGCTGAGACATTAACATAAAAGACATAGACTGTACTGTACAGTATGTACCAGAGTGAGTATTTTAATTCTGAATCTGTTTCATCCTCTTACCATATCATATTATTGACTCCATTACTGAGTCAGGTACTGTACCACCATTATTATTCACCTAACTTTTTTTTATCACTTATTCCTTCATATTTCCTGTCGCTGTTCTGTAATTGTTCCCGATGCCTCATTCACACAAAACAATACCATTGTTTTACAGTTCTTTTCCAGCTTTACTCTTCTACACATTACCAGCCAAGATTTTTATTATAGTTTTATTATAGATTTTAAACAATTTCATAAAAGGAAACAACATGACTGATTCACCCCCAATTATACTGGTCATTCTTTTCTGCACCTGTTCAAACCCATGTTGGTACTGTACTGTACTGTACTCTCTGTTCAAACACATATTGGTACTGTACTGTACTCTCTCTTCATACACCTGTTGGTACTGTACTGTACTGTACTGTACTGTACTCTGTTCAAACACATATTGGTACTGTACTGTACTCTCTCTTCATACACCTGTTGGTACTGTACTGTAATGTACTCTCTGTTCAAACACATATTGGTACTTCCTTTATAATCACATGTACTAAGTGAAGTGAGATGTGGGAGTGATCGTGCCCCTGTGGCAATTCAATGTTATTTAAAAAGAAGGAAACCTAACCTAACCTAACATTTTTTTTATTCTTTTTGTGGAATTTCATTGTGTTAATTATACATCAGTGTAATATTTTTGGGTGCCTTCCTACACTGATACCATAACATTTGTGTGATCACTCGAATTAGGGAGAGGGTCATCTCGTACCCAAGATAAATTGTACCCAAAAAAGTCTTAACTCGTACCCAAGATAACTCATATCCAACTCACGAGATAAGTCGTACCAAAGATTACTTACACCCAATTCAGGAGATAATCCATACCTATTAGTATATATACCATGCATTTTAGCTTTATCTATGATTACAAAAAAAGATTATGCAAATCTTGTTGGAAAGTGCAGTGAAATAGGGAAATGTAATGCAGCGCTATAAAATGGTTGCATCTCATTACATAAGTATGTTATTGTCACACAAACATTGCACTACAAGTACATATTCACACAATGTGGTCCTTATACTTGTATAATATGGAGGAAGATTTTTGGTACAAAGATAATTTCCTGTTTGATAGACAAATAACAGTTATGGTGATATTTTTCAAGATCTTACCCCAATTCATCTGTACAGTGTTCATAACTGTCATCGCAAAATTAAAATACCCAATACCGTATTTTGTTATATTCTACTGACTTCATCCACACAACAGGCCATAATTCTCTTCATTTACACTCACCCAACCCCAAGTTTGTGACAAACTTCATAATTTATTGTTAAAAGATTTAATAACAAAGAAGAAAGGTACAGATACTGCACTCTATTCCTACATTCTTATGGTTGTCACAGGCTATATTTACCGATATTCACTGTAAGTGATTGTATTTCATACCCAGAATTGGCTTACAGTCCCCAAAATAGGAAAATGAGGTGCACCTTAGCTTGGGATTCAAGTTTTTCATGCTGGTAAATCGTGCGGCACAAGCAAACGTATCGTGCCACTGCCAAAGTTTTGATGGTCGCAGTGTACCAACCAACCAGTCTTCCACCAGTTGTTACATCTGACTACACCACGATGACGTACTAACAACACCTGACAGTCGGGAAACTTTTCTTCCATCGTATTACAACTTCCAGGATACCACAGCATCGTGTACATGACGGCAGTTCTTGCAATTGGCAGCCATCATCAATGGACATTTCATGTTCATTTCTATCCATTTTTGCACATATGAGGTTAGAAGAAGGAATCCTTAGGTGCCAGTTTAGAGTTAAAAACTAAGCACTTGTAAACACTAGTGCCAGGACAGAAAAACAACTATAGAGTTAGCTAGATTCATATATTATTGATCTCCGTGACACTAGACAACCCTGATTCACATTAATGGCTATGGGACTAGTAAGGAGAGCAGTATTGTACTCCACAATTCACAATGGCAGAAGAAAAAGGCTCGCACACTCATGCCAAAAGCAGCCAATCAAATGCTTATAAAATAAAGAGGTATATATATTTTTTAACCATAAAGAATGATATGCATGGGTTTTAGGGCATAGGATTAAAATAAAATCATAAGGGATGAAAAATTGAGGCACAGCTTTAAAAACATATAGGAAACTAATCCTACAGTCTTTTGGGTTATTACACTTGGGTTAATGGTACAACTCACACACAATAAGTAGTCACTTGTGGCATAATACTTTAGGGAATTGGGTAAATTGTAAAATCCTTTTATATTAACCATTATTCCACATTATATGAACGGTAAGTATGATGTAACCAGAATTTTGTTCAACAAAAATTACTGCCCTGTGTAGGATAAGTTATGTGAGCACACACAAAAAAATATATAAAATCATTTTATCCTCTGGGATCACAAGTACAATTTAAAAACTTAACACACAAATGTTATTGTCTGAGCACACATGAAGTTTACCCAGATTTCACTCAAAAGTACCTGAAACTAGTCGGGTATTCCAGTGTCTTCTCAATTGCTAGAGCTCACAGCCCAATTTTAGTGTCAATAAATTCAATGTGAGTTAAGGGAGGATTGTTACAGAAGACTATATTGTCATGATATCTGCATAGAATTTTAACATCTTGGGTGCACTTATCTCAAGTAGTCAACTGTCTCAACATTTACAGAATTTCAAAATTTGTTCCCCTTGTGTACAACAGAATGCACAAAATTCTGAGTTGCATAAAAGCAAAGGTTGTTTAATCCATGGTCAGATCATATGTACAAACATGGAAAAAATAACTAAATATATAAATGCTTTTGTGCATGTGCTATCCTATCTGTAACTAATAAAAATACTTATATGGAAATATCACAGATATTCAGAAAAGCAACCATTGCAAAATCAAGATCGTAATCTCATCTTTGGTATATAGCAGCTATGAAAATACAAAGCACCTAGATTCATTGTTTATACATACAAAAAGTTAAAATTATATGGCCTTTGTATGGCAAAGTACTGTAATTATATATCAAGGCCTTCAACCAGCATATGTAAGAATATAGTCAAGCACTTCAACCAGTGGATGACAGGAACTGCTTTTATATTGCCTCTATTTCTACTTGCATCCCCAACTATCATCAAAGTTGAAGAATACTAGTATTTCATAATTTTTAAACTTAAAATTTACATGGTTTACTGGAAAGCCAAATTAGGAAACAACTGATGTTTTTGTGTGGTCTATTCACAAAATGCATGTCTAAATGGGCACACTGTGGAGCCAGTTATTGTATCTGTTATATGGCACTAGAGATCTACATCTCCATGAATCATGCACAACCTCTTTCAATTAAACAAAGAGCGTTGGTTGACTAGAAGAAACACGGAATTCATTTGGACGACCACTAGCAGCAGAAAAGCAGCCTTCTTGTATTTTAAGTAGAATTGTGACACCAGCCACAAGAGGCAATACATATTAGTTGAGTAAATGCATGATTTCCTTCCTTCTGGATATATATACAGTACACTACTTTTAAATGAGATTTAGTTATGGTAAAGTAAAACCATTTTCTGAGCACAGTATAGAGCTTATATTGTCTGGCTAATGCAAATGTTCCTATCTGCATGAAATGCTTGGGCAAAATAGTTATATGTATATCCTTATATTCTTACTCTATTTCAACTGGTAATCTTCCAGCAAAAGGTAATAAGTAATTGTAGCGCAGGACCATGAGTTATCTGCTGTCAGTGAATATAACCCAACAACATATTGAAATACTCCTCCTGATGATGGGGTTTAACAGTCTTTAATTATTACAGAAAGTGTGATGAAATAATAAATACAAAATCCTGTGAAATGAATTCCTTACACAAAACTGAAAACTAATTGTGAAAATCAGGCTAGGGTAAAACTGACTTCTTAAGTCCTTTAGTGTCATCCTTACAGAATGTATTTGAGCGGCTGCATCCAGATGGTGGTGGTGTAGCAATATTCCTAACTGGTCTACTTGTTACACTGGAAGATCTGCTTCTGCCCATCACATTTGAACCTAGATTTACTGCAGGTGTTGGGCTTGTGCCCCTCCCTGTACCTAGTCCTATAGAACGTCCAGCTTCCCTCATGGGAGACCTGGTGGTCCTACGTCCCATGGTTGCTGCTCTTGTTCGTGTGATGACGTTTCCATTTTTGACATCGCTTTGCCTCCTTGGTTCTGTCTTATCCGTTTTGGGAGTCCTAGGTGTGTGGGAACCACTGTCGGAATGACACTGCGGTGATGGTTGACCCTCTTGTTGGCTGCGACCTGCCTTACTGAGGTTTGTAATGCTGCTGCGGAGTTCTGGGCGCCGAGTGGGTGTCCTAGAACTTCCCTCTGTTGACTGTGTCCGAGCAAGCTGCCACAAACAGAATTTTATTAATAATGTATATGAACCAATAAATATAAAGACCTTTGTAATATTCTTTATTCACATCTACAGGAGAGAGAGAAAAAAGTGGGGAGAGGTAGGGGGAACCAAGCCGATAAGTGATATTCCCGTTAGCTGGAATAATTGATGCAGTGCTCTTCTAGGGATGAGATTTCCTGGTAACAAGACGACTTTCTCAAACCCAGAAAAATCCCACATTCCCAGAATTTTTCTGGGTGCTGGGGAAAGTTTTCCGAGTCTAGGAGAGTAAACTACGCATCTCATCTTGACTCTAAAGTATGCATCTCATCTCCCCTGGACAAACTCTCTCCCATCATATTTAGACCGTGTGCATGAACAAAAATATTTATGGCTAGCAAAAACGTGTATAAACCTTTATTCACAGCATCTGCTCTAGTTGTGAAAGAGAGGAATTTGGTACCTTAATGATCCTGAATAAATTCTCTACTAGACTGTTCCAATAAAAGATCCTTAAACAAAATATTTCACCACAATATAATAATGGAGACTCCATTCATTTATAAAAATAAAAAATAAAAAATGTAAATAATGTTGATACCCGAGTCAATAAAATCGTTTCTAATTAGGTAAGATACACTTATTTTTTACCCAAGTAATCCTGAATAGTTTATCTAAAATTTTGGTTATATAAATATATTTATAAGAAGAGCATAAAGAATGGACAAAACTGCAGCAGGCCTACTGGCCCATACTGGGCAGTCCTGTTTGCACCCAACCCCTATCGCTCATAAATCCATCCAACATATAATTGAACCTATCCAGCATGTTAGAGTTAATGATGATGTTTGGTTACTTGTTCCACTCGTCCAATACTCTTCCCAAATCAATGTTTACTTATGTTGCGCCTAAATCTAAATTTGTCTAATTTAAAACCATTGCTATGAGTTCGCTCCTGGTTGGATAGTTTGAGTACCCTTGTTATATCACCTTTGTTTGACCCGACTTCCATTTATACACCTCGATCTTATCGCCCCTCACTCTACGTCTCTCAAGGGAGTGCAAATTAAGATGATTTGACCTGTCTCTGTACTCAAGGTTCCGAATGCCCAGGATTAGTCTTGTCATTCTCCTCTGAATTCTTTCTGGGGATTCTATATCCATTTTGTAATACGATGACCAGAACTAAACCGCGTAATCCAAGTGAGGTCTCACAAGCACAATATATAGTTTTAGGATAACCTCACTAGTCTTGTAACTAACACTCCTTGGTATGAACCCATTACTTTATTAGCCTTGTTTCGAGCAAATACGGGATTAGTGGTCTCATGTCACTGACCTTCTGATGCAATGTCAAGTCACCCTTGTCGAGGTGAGGAAATAGCGAGTCTCATGACCCGAAGAATGATGTTTTGAATAAAGACAAAAGCTAAAGTGCTCCAGTGTTTCCCTTTTCCTGTACATATGGTAGAGTATACATAACTGTAATCACTATTAACATCTTAACACTGCTTTAACACTGTTTTCTTGGCTGATTGTTGTCCTGGTACAGTAATGTACAGTACTGCAGAACGTAAAAACAGCAGCGAGCGAGGGATCAACCTTGTACAATGGCAGAGAACTATGAACTAAGTGCATTATGATGCTAGGCTTAGAGGGAATAAACTGGGATATGCATCAGCCTATCACAAGCATCCCATGCAGTAGTATTAGTCAATCACAGTGTGCGAGCCTACAGCTCAGGTTACCGAAGCAGGGAAAAGTTTTCTCACATGCAGCTGGCACATGATGGAGAGGCAGAGCATGATGCAATTTATTGGAACTCCCAGAACATTTGTTTGCAGACCAAGAATCAAGATTTTTTCGGGAAAAAATCTGGGTCTTCAATTCCGGCTCATGGGGAGATTACTACCTTGTTTTACAGTGACCAAAATTGTTAACCACCTAAACTGGGGTAAATGCCAAGGTTACCCCCTAAAATTGACCAAAGTTAAGATATGAAAAATTATAGTAAATTACTCTGAACATCTGGTATACTCATACAGTTTCATCTACATGTCAAGTGTAATGACTGTAGGGAAAAGTTACACAAAATATTACCTTTTTACTAAGATTAACCATAAAGTAAACTAAATACAGAAGACAAAAATGTAGCTCAAATTGGCCTCATTATACACCATATGATGAGCTAGATGCAGAGAGACAGATGGACAAGGGAAAAATAAGACCCACATTCTTGTTGAAACATAAATCTCTTATGCTGTTAAAAAAAGCTGGCTACTACCACCTCAAGGTACTTCATTACTTAATTGCTCTTTATTAAAGAAAAACTATGGCATTTTAAATGATATGGTAATCCAGATATTGAAATTAACCACAACACAGGCAAATGATAACCTACAAAACTTCTTCAAATGCTGCCAATACTATAACACACCTCACTCCCTCCCACCCCCTCCAAAAAAAAAAAACTTTTACACTTACATATTAAGTAATTTTACAATACAGTGGTCCCTCGGTTAACGAACGGTTCGATTAACAAAATTTTGGTTAACGAATTAGCTCCCATAAGGATCTTCAATTCGGTTAACGAACAAATCTTTGATTAAGGAAATCCTTGACAAACACATTTTGTTGTGAGCATCAGCTGATCAGCTGATTGGCTAGTCTGCCAATTCAGTAATCTGTTCTATGTTTACATTCGTTTCCAGTGGAGAAAATATCAAGAAAGTTGTGCTCTTTAATATTTTTTTATTTTTTATATTAAAATTATTAGTCATTTTAAAATTTAGTTAACATATTGATAATATAAGCAGTACAGGGAACTAGTTTTGTGTACGCCCATCAGCCGCTCGACTCACCCACCAAGCGTCAGTTTAGCTTTGTTTACAGTGGAGTGAACATCGATTTTGTTGGTGTCTTTAATATTTTTGCATTTTTACATTAAAATTATTAGTCATTCTGAAACTTAGTTAACATATTGATAATATATAGCGCAGTGCAGTGTTGATTTAAATAAAATAATCTTGAATTACACCTAGTGAGCTTTAAATTTTATTGGTGAAATTACTGCATCAAGCATGGGTTCAAAGAAAGGCGATTTCTCCTCCATCCCCACTTCCTTCTCTTCTCCCTTCTCCTCCATCCCCACTTCCTTCTCTTCTCCCTTCTCCTCCACCCCCACTTCTAATTCCCATCATCATCATCAACCAGGAGCCTTCTACATACAAACCTCAAAGTAAGTGTACTTTACCGCATCTTTTTTTTACTTTGTTTGTACTTTTCTGTGAGCTGGAACCAATTACCCAATATCCCATTGAAACAATGGATTCGGTTAACGAACGACTCTGTGGAACGAATTGCGTTCATTAACCGAGGGATCACTGTACAATACTGTACATAAAATTAACTGCCAATTTGGCCTATGAGGGAGTTAGACATGGTTGTCCTGTGATAGAGGTCATTCATTAACCCCATCAGGAAAGTACCAAATTTGGTACAATATTAAGTTTCAAATTTTGAAGTGGTTATGGATGGAGATGGCAATAGCATCTTGGCTTAGAGCTGGTTGAATAGCTGCAACCCAGATCTAAGTATAATCATCCCTTACTAATGCAGTTCTCCATAAATGAAAATTTTTGTATTATAATTGGATGCTCGGGTTACCATTTTGCATTACAATGAGGACTTACATACACTGATTAAAAGCAAAATGAGAAAAAATATTCTGGTATAAACTCAACAAAGCAATGACACTTCTGTTAAGACAAAAGCAAGAGTATGAGGTAAATACAAATCTTCACCAACATGATATCAAAGGCAAAACATGGTAGCACATTTAAAACTAAAAATTTTTAAATTGCAATGAAGAAAAACAAATACTGAACTCTGTTTCAGTCAACTGCATCAAAAGACATCAAATATATACTCAAACCTTTGCTTCATTTCCTGACCCTTCATTCAGGGAGGTCAAAGTCCGACCTCGTGGAGTGGTGTTGGACTTTCTGAGGGGCAACTCATCCTCAGAGGCAGAGCTACCTGTGGTCTAGGAAAGAAGAGCAGTAGAAGCAAGTTATTGCTTCTGCAGGTTCTACAGATGAAGTACATTCTGAAGAAATAAAAATTGCGAATTTTTCAACATGCTCATTATTTAAAAATGAAAAGAGCAGCATAGCAAGCAGCTGTTGATGGCCATGACCTCAGTTGGTTTTCTCTGAAGAGAGAGAGGAAAAAGTAAGAAGGCTACCCTATGGTAAATCCATGCCAAGCTCATGTGTTCATGGAAGACAGGCCACGACCAGAGCTGAAAATCTAAATATTTCATACTTTTTACATCAATGGGTTTAAAGCATGGAGAGGGTAAATAACATTTTAACATGCATACTGTTTATATGAGAAACTGATCTTAAAATCCTATTTTATGACTTTTTTTTTAATGGGCAAGTTGAGAACAGCCAAACAAGTCTATGGGTTGAAAACCCTGGGTTCCTTTTACCCTCACATTGATTGAAACTACAGTACATTGCAAATAATTTGCACACCAAGATTTCACATTTTGGTTTAGTTCACATTGACTTCACATGCAATTCAACCTGCATTATGTTCACCACATACTTTGATAGTTCACATTTTTTAACTTTGGTAAATTGCATTGAATATAAAAATTATTTCTGAATAGGGTTATTGGGTAGTTCATATTTTTAATGTGAAGTTGTGTATTGTACACATATAGGTAATTTGTAAATTACAGTCAGTGTCCCCTTAAAGTACAGTACATGTGATGCTTAAAACCTGTATGGTAACTGGATGTATGATAGCAATAAGTCTTAGAGCTCAAGCTTATCTGTGTACTTTAACAGTTAGTCTTACCCACACATTAATTTACCATAGAGAACCCAGGTCATGAATTGAGGTATGTCCTAGAACAGTGGTTCTTAAACTGGGGGGGGGTGCCAGAAGATTACAAGAGGGGCGCGAGCAGTCAGAGAGAAAAGTTTGGTCAGGAACTGAACGCGTCTTGTACACGATTGCTCATCCTCCCCACTCTATAATAACCAAGGGTTGCATCGGGGCGGGGGGATCTAGGACTTATGCAGAGGGGGGCACGAGGCTTAATTTGGGTCCCCTTGTAAACTGGACTGGAGTCCAGCACCAGACACATGTATACCTGCCTCCCATTCTCTTAAAGGTCATCCTTCTCACCTGCACTATGCATGCTCAGTACCAGTCACCTGTGTCCACAGGTATTATTTGGAAGTGCTCCAAGAACTATAATTATCAATTTTGTTGTGTCTTTGGTGACATTGGTGGACTATTTTTGTAGGCATCAGTTCCAAACCAAAGCAAGGTGGTGTAGTGGTTACAAGGAAGCGTAGTAGTTATGGGATGGATGTGAAATTAAAAGTTACACATCGTCAGAAAGTGGTGAACGTGTCTCAATGAACCACTATCACTGAAATGAGTGTGGTAGTGTGTGATTAGGTAGCTTGTGCCACATCAACACACTGACCCCAAATGACTTTAAGTACCTTAAATAAGTTGTAAAGTTAAATAATTTCATAAAATTATGTGTAATCAAATGTTTACAAATGTTTCTAAGGTACATATAACTGTTAAGAGATACCAAATTAAACTTCATGGGTGTCACTTACAATGTGATGGTCTCGATTAGACTATTCTTATTAATTCTTATTGGAATTAATTCCCCTTTATAAGTGGTTTCATTATCAGTGACTTTTTTCTGGTCCCTATTAACCACTTGAGGATCTCTGTATAATCATAATTTATTTCATAATCAGGCTGCATAAGATTTATTGTGGTAGGTCTGAAACTGGAACTTTTTAACATAAGTATTGCCTTAAAACACCAAATTAAACAGTACAGTAGGCAGAAGCAACCACTGCAATTTGGTAAACAGCTGCATAGTGGCAGCAACTGAAACACCTGTACCATACATCATCTGCCCAGTTCCTGTTGGTTTGTTTAACAACACATCTGTTATACTCATCCTTCTTTTCCTTTTCAGAAGGGTTTAATATAGTGTACTGAGAAACAATTAAATGTTTTTTTGCAATTAAAGTGAACTGTTGCATAATGGTATGCGACTCCACAATATTTGAAATACAGTACACAGGGTCTGCAGGAGTTTAATCTCAAACAATGGGGAGGAGCTACTGTGTGCATGCAAACAGTTACTGTACTTGTTGAAATGTGTTAAAGGAACTTCTATGTGGCCAACCTTTAAATATTTCACGGTACATAATGTTGTCTTATTAAAAGGATATACAAATTACATCATGAGGCTGTGAGAATGAAAGTCACATGTTTATTGTGATTAACCTGTGATACATGAGGTCCATGATCAAGATCAGAAATAAAGCAGATGAAGGTAAAATGGAAGATGCTAAGCTAAAGACAAAAAGTGTTAGCAAATGAGCTGTAGATAGTTTAGAGTACGGTACTTCAGGAGATGAAGCTAGAAGAAGGAATGCAATTCATGTGCAGTTGAAGCATTATCTATGTGGCCAGTGTTAATGTAAATGCTAGTCTGGCTAGACAATTGAGCCTTTCGTGCTACCTGAATGAATATGATGCATTCTAGTAACATGGAGGATGTGTTCACTTTGCTCAGTTACAAAATGTACTTTGATAATTTATTTCCGTGTCAGTCACAACCTGATAAACTCGATCCACTAATAGTAAATGATAATGATACAGCCTTTCATGAGATGCACTGAAAGAAAACTATACTTACATGTACTTCACCTCCAAGGATATTTACAAGGATATTTACTTACCATATGAGGTTAATGGTCAAGATCATACTGTATGTAACTTTCAACGGTCCATAACATTTTCTACTAGAGGAATTTAACGTACGGTGTGGCTTGATGTGCGATGGACAGTTGTGGTTCTCCTGGGCAACTGGGAAGGCTCTGGTAGTCCAGGTGTGCGTGGCCGGGATGATGGGGGACCCGATGATCTGGTTGGGGTTTGGGGATTTGGCCGGCCTGGGTCGGGTCGAGAGAGCGAGCGAGTGAAGGTTGCCCCACGGGTGAAACCTGCCACTGGCGCTGTTCGTTTGTTACTAGAGTGGGTATCCTCGTCTGTTGAAGTGTCATTTCCCTGAGAATATAAGAAGCATTACAAGTATATGTATTCCAACTATTGACTTAAAAAAGGTTAAGAATTCTATTGTTAGAAATGATGATTATTTATACAAAAAATAAATACACCTATTTATCTATTACATACACATTCAGTCAAGGCCAAAAGGTACGAAGGGGGTGCCTTTTGATGTACACATTTCCCTACACACCAGTGTGTACAAAACTGTACACCTTTACAGTCCACACAAAGATGAAGGTACCAAAAATCAAACAATGGGCCCCTTAAAGGCTTTGTACCCGTGGAGAACAATCACCAGGTTTATTGGCAAGACTGTCTTTGTAAGCAGTCCTCTAAATGTTACAAGGAAAAATCAATACAGTACTGTTTCCTCCCACAGTGAAATTTTTCATCGTACATGTACAATAAATATCATTTGTGACATAAGCCATTCTGACTTTAGTGCATTTCCTATTTTGCATCCAGTATTGTATTTTATACTGTATAAGCCTATACAGTAAAATGGGGGTTGTATTCCTAAAGGAATCATGTTAATGTAATATCACACAAACAAGATCCATTAATATTGTGAAAATATGTTAATATTCCAGGCACCACTGAAACCATTCATTATGAACAGTGTGAACTCCGACATTATGCATTAAAAACTTTATACTGTACTGTATTACTAACTGAATTTTCATGCATGCACAGGGGCTGCTACTGTAGTGGCACAGGAGGGTAATAAATAAAGATTTAAGATGTACAAAAACATCTTTTAATTATCTAACCTTTCTTGTCATTTCAGTTTTGTTGACTACTAATCTCATTGTGCAGTACAGTACTTAATAGTAGTATAATGTCATTAACAGTGACATTTGCTAACCCTGGCATCTTCTTCATAACACGTCACTGGTATAACCAACTAAGATAACCTACGGACAACTTCAGAGTTCAAATAATAATACAGTTATCTCCCGGTTAGCAGAACTCTTTTGGGACTGAGAGATTTCTGGGTAATGAGACGAATCTCTCAAACCTGGAAAAATAAAAAAAAATTTCCGGTATTGGGAAAAGTTTCAGAGAGTCTAAACTATGCTTCTTATTGGGAAAAGTTTCAGAGAGTCTAAACTATGCTTCTTGCATGGACAAACACTATCCCACATTACCAGGAATGTTTCTGGGTGAGGGGAGAAGTTTTCCTTGAGTCTAAGAGTCTAAGCTATGCATCTCATCTCAAGTCTAAATTACAGGTATCCCCCAATTTACAATGGAATTACGTTCCTGATAAACCTATCGCAGGTCGAAATATCATAAATCAGGATCAACATAACAAGCGGTTCAAACGGATACGTTCCCAGCTAGTCCGATACTAACGAGCATCATCGAAAATAAAATTCCAACAATAATAATACAGTGGTCCCTCGGTTAACGAATTACCTTCCATAAGAATCTTCAATTCATTTAACGAAAAAAAAAAGATTAACGAAATCCTTACGAAAATCACGTTTTGTTTTGAACATCAGCTGATAAGCTGAGGGGGTACTCAGCCAATTCAGTAATCTCTTCTATGTTTACATTCGTTTCCAATGGAGTAAATCTCAAGAAAATTGTGCTCTTTAATATTTGTGCATTTTTTTATACAATATTAAAATTATTGGTCATTCAAAAAATTTAGCCATCCAAGCTCTGTCTACATAAAGCTTTTCAACTATTATTTTTGGCTCAATATATGTAACTTTATTCATTTAATGAAACTCATTTACATGCACACACTGTCCTAAGGACAAAGCTGTACTGTATATGTAATCAAAATAATGTACAAAAGGATTACTATGGCATGTTTACATTCAAATTAATCACTATCTTATAAGAATTCCAGCAATGTAGATTATATTCTCCCCGGTCACTTCTATGACATTTTATGAGCAAAAAACAAAAACTCGACTAAACAACATAAATAAACAAATAAATACTTCACTAGACCTTCAGCGCTAACTGTCAAAGTACACCTCACCTCCCGCTGCCCCCTCCCTCCCTCTCCCCCATCTGCCCAGCCAGGGTTTTAGGATTACAGTTTTTATCTTATATAATATCTCAGACTAAAGTTGGAAGGATATAAATTGCATTGCTGGAATCCTTGCAAGACAGCGAATAATTTGAATATAAACGTCATATAATTGTATTTTGCACAAGAGATAAAATTTTTGCTCTCTGTAATAAAATTCTTAAATTAGATCTAAAATTTGTATGTCTGATGCAAATTATAGCTTGTTTATATTCAAACTAATCACTATCTTATAAGAATTCCAGCAATGTTAATTATATTCTCCCAGGTCATTTAACTGGCATTTTAAAATGAGAGAAACTTAGTAGGACTGTTAAATAAACACACAGGAGACCTTCGGCTCAAACTGTCATCATATACCCCCCCCCTGGAACGAATTGAGTTCGTTAACCGAGGGACCACTGTATACATAAAACACAATTTAACAACACTCACCACATCATTAAAAACAAGTTTGATCATCATCACATGTCCCCTTCAAGGCTAAGGGGAGTGGAGACGTCTCACACAGCTTCACAATGTCAAGCTTCAAATCCAGAAACATGGTTTTCCTGGGTGCCATGGCCTTCCCAGACATTTTCAAAGTTACACTGCTCACTTCACAAAAACAGAGCGAATGATGATAATGTAAAAACAATGATAGCGATCAAGTTCACAGCAACAGAGGCAAAGCACTTAACATTCACAAACAACATTGCAAAAATCACTTCAAAGTCACCAAACCAGAATACAATGTGAACGTTAATGATGTCCTTTCACTGTAAGGTTAACAAAAAACAAAAAAAGACAGATGATTAGTAACAACACCAATACTGACTCATAATTATTGAGTTACACAATCACGGGCATATGCAATCACTAAGGAAGAAAGCTTTGGATTGTAGTGCACCAGGTGGCCACGTGGTAATGCTCGGGTAGACCGCAGCTGACGAGTGCACCGAGAGATTCGTTTCATATTCCACGTTGGCCGAATTATTTATCGTAAATTGGGAAGGAGGATGGTCTTAATAAATCGCCATCGTACAAGCAAAATATCATAGATAAGGTGAACGTAAATCGGAGGATACCACTATGCATCTCATCTCAGACAGACAAACACTCTCCCATTACATTTAGTCCATGGGCACAAGGGAAAATATTTACGGCTAGCAAAAACGTGTAAGAAACTTTTATTCACAGCATCTGTTCTTATTGTGTTAGAGAAATGAATTTGATACCATAATGATTCTGAATAAATTGTTTACAAGATTGTTTCAATTAATGATCCTTAATCGAAATATTTTGACACTATATAATGATGGGGACTCAATTCTTTCACGAAAAACCATAAAAATTTTTTATACCGGAGTCTATAAATTCAGTCCTAATTAAGTTTAGCAACACTATTTTTCTACTAACATAATCCTGAATAGTTTAAATCACATGTTAAAGCATAATTACCCATCATTATCCAGAAATTTAGATGGGAATTAGGGAACCCATGTGTTACTCTATGACATGTAATGCTACAGTGCATTACTGGGTGACTCCACTGAAATTCATAATACAGTACTGTACAGTGTGTGTGCTTAGAAGATACATTATGTGGTACACACAAATACTCCCACCACCAGTACAATAAGTATCGTATAGATTTATATTACACCATTCTAATATCTGGTCATTTGTGTTAAAAGTTCTATTGACAATTTATTAAATATATCAACAATATTTTAATAAATGGTGCTTACAGGAAACATTAGGGTGTTTCAACTATAGTAAGCTGGTGTGGTTATACACGTATATGTGCGCTGTCGTCAAGCACGTATAAACATTTCATCATAGATTTACGTTATGGGATTGTATTGAAATTAATAATTTATAAAATACAGTACTGTATATTAATAGTGCCTAGAGGAAGTATCTATTATAGTAGTATGTTTAACTGTTAAACAATTCTGTAAGCTCCTTGTGTTATTTGACACATTGTCCTGTAAACACTGTCAAGTATTACACTTAATCTAGTCAATACTGTAGTGGAAAATTTTCCCAAATATCAGATGAAAAAAATGACATATGTACTGTACTGTATGTTATTGGGAATATCCCCCCCCCCCACCCTCTCTTTAACCTGAAAATTCCAATACCTTTTCTTTAATGCAGTATTGTACACAGGCATTTTTGAATAGTAAAATTAATTATTACTGACCCCAGAATATCTCCTAATATCAAGTGCACATGGCCTCAAAATGCCCATGATATTGGTCAAATAAAAAAACAAAAAAACAAGCTGGGTGGGCTCACTGTGCTCGCCACGTTCCCCCATCCAAAGCTTCTTGGACACCCCTTGATATTCCTGGATCCACCCCTGAAATATAAGGTATGGGGCTTGTAGTACAGTTCAGTACTATACAGTATGCCCCCCAAGTTTGCAGATTTTTACTTCGTGGTTCTCGATTATTCGCGGTTGACACCATGGGTGTACCCAAGAATGTCCGTGGGTAGTTTTAAAGTTGCCAGCATTTTCGCGACTGGGACAGGGAGCCATTTGTTCTAGAGACAGTAATTTCCTTTATCTGTATTGTAAATATGTGTGTGTGTGTGTGTAGACATACACACATAAAACACATACAAATAAATAATAATTGGAAAATCCTCTCACAAATAGTCAGAAACCAATTTATTAAAAATGTAACAGTCTACCCTCAAATCCATGCTCTATTACAGTACTTAGTTAATAGAGTATGGACTTGAGGGTAGACTCACATTTTTAATAAATTTGTTTCTGAATATTTGTGAGAGTACAGTATTTTCCAATTATTATTTATTTGTAGGTGCATCGTGTGTGTGTGTGTGTGTGTGTGTCTACACGCATGCACGCATGCATGCACGCAACACATGAAGCAGACCAACATCAGTCAGTTGTATGGTAAGCTTAAAGAACTCTGGACTAAACAATAAGACACCCCCA